ATATTGTCACTTGGAAATGAACACATGCCACATGACAAGGTGGGATTTCAGTTACATCCACAAGGTTTTAGGAGCATTTTTAAGCTCTTACACCTGTTGGGACGATCAAATATTTAAATATATTGTTTTATTAAAATGTATCAGAGAATGTATCACACTGGTCTTGTTGGTTTACAGTCAAGTGTAAATTGTGTATTACTGGTACAGGGCCATGTGGCAAGTGGAGGCGAGTGTTTTCACAGTAATTATGCCAATATTTGTGCTGACCATCTGTCAGGGTAGGCTGGGTATAACTATTCACACAAATATTTAGCACACATCTTACAAAAGTTGAGGTAGTCTAAGTTTTATTTACTGTAGACTGTTAGCCCTTCTGGGCGAGTGTCAAAGTTTGTACAGGTAAGCTAAAGGTGAAATAGCACCTTTCCCTACTATTCATTGACCACAGTCTCATTTCCTGTCATATCCTTATCAAACAAACCTATTGAAGTCATATTCATAGGCCACTCGTGTGCTCCGGATCTCCTATTGGAAATATAATTACAGAATCTTGAAGAGATGAAAGCTTGCTTCGAGGTGATACAGTCCATAATTTAATTCACAATGAAGCTATAATGGTACCTCGCTCAATCCTATTACCTACTTGACTTGGCAAGATTTTCCGTTTTCAGAAAGAATTTGATATTTGTAAAACTGAGCTTTTGTTGGTGTATCTATAACAGGCCCCAGTATCAGAAACATCTGGTGTTATTTTGTTGCCTGTTTAGAATTGAAATTAACCTATTTCATACTCTGTCATGTTGATATGTTATCATGATTATCTCTACACTGAAAACTATTTCTGTGATGTTCGGAGAGTTATTCCCCTTTAAGAAGGTTGTGAACATATTTTCGGTGAAATCTTAATGAAGTTAACTGGTTTGCCAGGAGATATGACTGGGCTGATGATGTAATCAGTCACTGTTAATCCAGGCCAAGATACTACAAAACAAGAAAACCTTATTTTTTTATTCAAGATAATATGCCTACAATAAATTGTCTTTGACTTCAAACATTTTTTTTTATTTGATTTCTTTGGTTCTTATGGGATATTGTCTTGAGTGTCCCTAAGATTTCTATCTCTACCCCGAACTAAGGATAGGTTACGTACCCTTTAAACACTACCACTATCATTATCATTATTAAGATCATTGTCCCCTCCTTCAACCACTCTTGTCCCTTCTTGTCCCTCTTGTGGGGATCACTTTCCCCACTCCTGTCCTGTCCCCTAGATCACTGTCCCTCCCCACCTTCCTGTCCCTTTGATTAATGTCCCTTCCCCTATCTTCCTGTCCTTTAGATCACTGTCCCTTCCCCCTGTCCTGTCCCTTACATCAATGTCCCTTCCCCTCCCTTCCTGTCCCTTAGATCACTGTCCCTTTACCCTCCCTTCCTGTCCCTTAGATTACTGTCCCTTCCTGTCCCTTAGATCACTGTCCCTTCCCCTCCCTTTCTGTCCCTTAGATTACTGTCCCTTAGATCACTGTCCCTTCCCCTCCCTTTCTGTCCCTTAGATTACTGTCCCTTCCCCTCCCTTCCTGTCCCTTAGACTACTGTCCATTCCCTACCTTTCTTTCCCTTAGATCACTGTCCCTTCCCCTCCCTTTCTGTCCCTTAGATTACTGTCCCTTAGATCACTGTCCCTTCCCCTCCCTTTCTGTCCCTTAGATTACTGTCCCTTCCCCTCCCTTCCTGTCCCTTAGACTACTGTCCATTCCCTACCTTTCTTTCCCTTAGATCACTGTTCCTTCCCCTACCTTCCTGTCAATTAGATTACTGTCCCTTCCCCTCCCTTCCTGTCCCTTAGATCACTGTCCCTTCCCCTCCCTTCCTGTCCCTTAGATCACTGTACCCTCCCTCCTGTTCTGTACCTTCCCCTCCCTTCCTGTCCCTTAGATCACTGTCCCTTCCCCTCCCTTTCTGTCCCTTAGATTAATGTCCCTTCCCCTCCCTTCCTGTCCCTTCCCCTCCCTTCCTGTCCCTTAGATCACTGTCCCTTCCCGTCCCTTTCTGTCCCTTAGATTACTGTCCCTTCCCCTCCCTTCCAGTCCCTGAGATCACTGTCCCTTCCCCTCCCTTCCTGTCCCTTAGATCACTGTCCCTTCCCCTCCCTTCCTGTCCCTTAGATTACTGTCCCTTCCCCTCCCTTTTTGTCTCACTGTCCCTTCCCCTCCCTTCCTGTCCCATAGATCACTGTCCCATAGATCACTGTCCCTTCCCCTCCCTTCCTGTCCCTTAGATCACTGTCCCCTTCCTTCCAGTTATATGACAATAGGTACTGGCCTGTTTTAGAATTGTCCTATATATTGTGCCTTAGATTACTTTCCCCTCCTGTCCTGTCCCTTAGATCACTAACCTGTTCAGTGCTCTTAGAGCCAATATTTTTTATCCTTTCACTTTTGGAACAAAAAAATAGAAACTTTTGTATCAATGACCTGTGTAAATTTGCTCAATATTTCAACTCTTACTATGTAGTGACACTCGGCGCTTGACACGGAAATAGAGAAATTCTTTACCGTTCAAACATAGAACAATCTATAGGAATAGACATACCTAGATATTGGCTTAGTCTAGAAACGTTTACCATATATAAGATTACTCTTGGAATGGTTCCCTATGTAAACCCTGGTGTATAACAGCTCTTCAGTGATTGGACTTTTTGCACTGATTACTGAGAACCTTAAGTGTCAATTTCAGGCCACAGATAGAATCAGGTGAGGATCTGTTCCAATGCTTATAGTAAAGGTCATTCTTCTGTCCTCAATAATGGATTCTGTCTGTAGTTCAGCTGATCATGACACGATCACCTTAAAATCTTAGGGAAAGGTTAGACCTTCCAAAATCCAAAGATATGCTTTCAGACCTTTAGGATCACTATATAACCTTATACTTCCACAGTACCTACAGACCCTTAAATATTAGGGTCCGATGATGTCCTTAGTCTTCAAGGGTCTTAACATACATGTTTACCTCAAGGGTGTCTAGATCTTACAGACTCCCAACGGTCACCTAAGGGCCTTGCAGATCTCTAAGGTTCCAATAGATTATTACTGACATCAAGAGTCACATTACTAGGCCCTTACAGACCTCTAGGGGTCCCTGTAGACCTATCAGACTCTGAGGGTCACTGATTGTGCTTTTACAGACCCCAAGGATTCCAACAGACTCAAGGCCCTTACATAAATCTAGGGTCCAAATAGTTTCTTATGAGCCATTCAAGATGTTTACAGACCCCAGAGTCTCAAAAGACCCCTTACAGATTCCTGAGTCATTCCAAGAGTCTTGCTGACCTGAAAGCTCCTCCTATGTAAGATGATTTTAGTGTAGGTTTCAGGGAACCTATTGATGTATAAAGAGTGTTATCAGTACAGGTTATGTCACTGTTACTTGAAATATTCCCATCGGAACATTTTCCCTACAGCAGCAGCAAAAGCTATTGATTAAAATGGTTTTATATACCCTCACCTTTATCATTACACAGGTCCATGGATGTCTAACACGATTTGTGTTCTATAGAGTTCCTTTTTTATGTGTGATTTACTCTGTGGCATATTTGTACAGGTTCTTAATAGCACCTCTCCGAGAATATCATTGTCTCCTGTGAGTGAAAACAAACGAATGAAAAAAAACAACTTCTTGAAATGAGGTCAAAGATATTCTAAGTCAACAAGTCTAAGGTTCTAAATTTCCTGATGTCTCTTTGTCCTGACAAAATCGTAGATATTCTTTCATTCTTCAAATCTGAGGTCCTAAATATCCTTAAGTCTCTTTGTCCTGACAAAATCGTAGATATTCTTCATTCTTCAAATCTGAGGTCCTAAATATCCTTAAGTCTCTTTGTCCTGACAAAATCGTAGATATTCTTCATTCTTCAAACCTGAGGTCCTAAATATCCTCAAGTCTCCCTGTCCTTATAAGATCATAGATATTCTTTCATCTTCAAATCTATGTTCCTAGATATTATTAAGTCTCTTCAATTCTACAAGTCTGACTTTCTCGATATCCTTAAGTCTCCTTGTCCAAATAAGGCAAAAAATCAATTTTTTTTAATCTTCAAGTCTGAGGTCCTCGGTAATGTTATGTCTGTATGGCACAAAAGGTTGTACATATCCCTAAATATGATGATTGAGTGATTCCGGCCAGAGACTAGAAGTAAGTTTTATGAGTGAGCTATGAGGGTATATTTTGTGGTACGCCATTTCGGTTTTTATACAGACATTGATATTTTAAAACTTGTGGTATTTGAATAAAGAGATTATCCTTGGAGGGATGCCCTGTATGTCAGGCATACAGCTGGCTGGTACTAACCCTTCACATTAAAACATAAAACACAATAAAAATTCTACCTTTGGATCTAGATTCTGATAAAAATGGCTTACTTTTATGTGTATGTGAGCTGTAGGATTAAATACGAAAGGTTACAGTTCAGCCTGAAACACAGTAACCTTTACATAAACAAAATCATTTACCAGGTAGACCACCAACTCTGTCACACATTTCTGTCCACGTTCATCTCCAGAGTTGTTACCAGTATTGCATTCTGTTATTTCATAATTTCATTATATATCAGAAACAGAAGGGCAAACAAAGTGATATCAGACTTTGTAGAAAGTGATATCAGACTTGTATCAAAATGGTTACAGGTGATATCAGATTTGTATCAAAATGGTTACAAAGTGATATCAGACTTGTATCAAAATGGTTACAAAGTGATATCTGACTTGTTACTTGTAATATCTTACTTGTTACTTGTCATATCTGACATGTTACTTGTAATATCTAACTTGTTACTTGTAATATCTGACTTGTTACTTGTCATATCTGACTTGTTACTTGTAATATCTGACTTTTTACTTGTAATATCTGACTTTGTCCTTTTTAATAGCTGACTTTTTATTTTGTAGTATTTGACTTGTTTCTTTATAATGATTAATTGATGTGTTATTTTTCCTGCGTTTTAGGTTCCACAAAGAGAAGCTTTTAATGACCACAATCTTGTGTGAGAATGCTGTGGATTACACTATTTCTGATTGATGAAAATGGAGGATAATTAAGGCTGTTAACGAGACAAGACACTTTTCATACCAATAGGACAAGTTATTCCTGTAGAACAAATACCCAGCAGTAAGTAGGTCTCTAAAGTTCACTATATCAAAACACTCTTAATGAATCCTGGACAGGTCTGCATGTCTGCTTGGACTAAGTCTGTCAAAGTAGTTATCTGAACAGCATATAAATCATTGGTCCAGCCTAATTTGAGCTGGTCAGCTGGTGACCTTTACCTGGCCAGGTCACTTTGTCCATGTGATAATAGCAGTGAAAGTTTATGGTCAGGCTCTGTCATACCTTTGGCCTCTTGTGATACACCTTTTACTGTCATTAAAATTTCAAATCAATTAGTCAGCAGAGAGTGGATGAAGGAGCCAGAGAATAGTGACCAGCTGTAACTGTCAGTGGTCAGCTCCAGTCACAATGGATCCCAGTGGTCAGCACACATTAACTGTCAATAAAGGCTCAACTCTGCCAACTTTTTATACATTACATTCACAATTCTGTGTTAATTGTTACCATTGACCTCACATGTAAATGAGTGGGCTATAAGGGGACCTTGTCAATTCAAACATATAGGATTTCCTGTCCCAAATGATTTACTGTGCTGAATTAGGACCTTTCATGCTCTATTTTCCAAATTTAGGATGAGCTAGCTGTCTTTACTAAATAGAATTTATGAATATCTCATCCTTTACTTAGCAGGATTCAATTATCTCCTGTCCTCTGTTATGTTTAAAGGATCACCTGTCCTTTATTTAGCAGGGTTTAAGGATCACCAGTCCTTTATTTAGGAGAGTTTAAGGATCACCTGTCCTTTATTTAGGAGCGTTTATGGATCACCTGTCCTTTATTTAGGAGGGTTTAAGGATCACCTGTCCTTTATTTAGGAGGGTTTAAGGATCACCAGTCCTTTATTTAGGAGAGTTTAAGGATCACCTGTCCTTTATTTAGGAGCATTTAAGGATCACCTGTCCTTTATTTAGGAGGGTTTAAGGATCACCTGTCCTTTATTTAGGAGGGTTTAAGGATCACCTGTCCTTTATTTAGCAGGGTTTAAGGATCACCAGTCCTTTATTTAGGAGAGTTTAAGGATCACCTGTCCTTTATTTAGGAGAGTTTAAGGATCACCTGTCCTTTATTTAGCAGGTTTTAAGGATCACCTGTCCTTTATTTAGCAGGGTTTAAGGATCATCTGTCCTTTATTTAGCAGGTTTCAGGATCTCCTGTCCTTTACTTAGCAAAATTTAAGGACCACCTGTCCTTTATTTAGGAGAGTTTGAGGATCATCTGTCCTTTATTAAGGAGGGTTTAAGGATCACCTGTTCTTTACTTATCAGGGTTAAAGGATCACCTGTTCTTTATTTAGCAGTGTTTAAAGATCACCTGTCCTCTATTATGCAGCGTTTAAGGATCACCTGTCCTTTATTTAGGAGGGTTTAGGGATCACCTGTCCTTTATTAAGCAGGGTTTAAGGATCACCTGTCCTTTATTAAGCAGGGTTTAAGGATCACCTGTCCTTTACTTAGCAAAATTTAAGGACCACCTGTCCTTTATTTAGGAGAGTTTGAGGATCATCTGTCCTTTATTAAGGAGGGTCACCTGTTCTTTACTTATCAGGGTTAAAGGATCACCTGTTCTTTATTTAGCAGTGTTTAAAGATCACCTGTCCTCTATTATGCAGCGTTTAAGGATCACCTGTCCTTTATTTAGGAGGGTTTAGGGATCACCTGTCCTTTATTAAGCAGGGTTTAAGGATCACCTGTCCTTTATTAAGCAGGGTTTAAGGATCACCTGTCCTTTATTAAGCAGGGTTTAAGGATCACCTGTCCTTTATTTAGGAGGGTTTAGGGATCACCTGTCCTTTATTAGACAGGGTTTAATGATCACCTGTCCTTTATTAAGCAGAATTTAAGGATCACCTGTCCTTTATTTAGAAGGGTTTAGGGATCACCTGTCCTTTATTAAGCAGGGTTTAAGGATCACCAGTCCTTTATTTAGCAGAATTTAAGGATCACCAGTCCTTTATTTAGCAGAATGTAAGGATCTCCTGTCCTTTATTTAGCTCTGAGGAAGAATCATGCTATTGTGAATACTCTGTTTAATGGAATATATTTTAATACAATTACTTCCACTTTCTTTCAACAAGTTGCCATGGGATTATTCATGTACCTGTCTGATATGATGGTATTTTTAGCCATCAGACCCAGAAACAATTGTGGTGAGATATTAGTCACACTACATGTTGTGGATTTCTCTTTCTTTATATTAGGTTGCTATGCCTTGGAGATTTCATAATATATCTTAATAGTTTATTAGATTATTTACCGAGAGGTCCAACCCTCCTTTAACTCTAAACTATTAGACAATTTTGTTATGCCTATAAGATTAGGCATGGTCGAATCCAATGGGGTTGATCAGTCAGGGCAGTAAAACAGATATAAATCCTCAACTTACAAGCCAGCATTAAATCAAAGGGAGGTAATTAGATTAATTGTGTCTGAGAAGCATATATTCCTGTCGTTGACTTTGTAATTTGGACACAGTTTGGTGGCTGTGACAAGTTTAATGCTACTCCAGAGCTCGCAAAAATCTCAAAACGTAAATCAAGATGAATGTGGTAACCCCTTATTGGTCACAAAAGTCAAGTCAGTATACTAGGATATCCTCAAGTGTAGCTACAAAGTCCTTACACTGTCTCAACAATGTCCATCTACAGTGGAGAATTCTTTATGGTCGTAAGGTGTATGTTATAATTGCCAATGAGGTCTACCAATTGTTTCTTCTTTCTGAACTGGTGTGATGAGAACTGGCCTCACTCAACATAATAGCATTTGTATTTGTTTATTTACAACTTTTTCAAATACATGTGAGTTTGGATTTTGTATTAATATCACAATTACTAGTAGTTATAATAACACTGAATTGCATTAGAAAATGATGTTGTAGCATACACAAATCCTAGTATTGTACCCATGTAGACAACAGGTGTTGTGTGAACAGGTCATGTTAACCACATATGTCCTAGTATTGTACCCATGTAGACAACAGGTGTTGTGTTAACAGATTATGTTACCTACACAAATCCTAGTATTATACCCATGTAGACAACAGGTGTTGTGTGAACAGATCTTGTTACCTACACAAGTCCTAGTATTTTACCCATGTAGACAACAGGTGTTGTGTGAACAGGTCATGTTACCTACACCAATCCTAGTATTGTACTCATGTAGACAACAGGTGTTGTGTTAACAGGTCAGGTTACCTACATAAGTCCTAGTATTGTATCCATGTAGACAACAGGTGTTGTGTTAACAGGTCATGTTACCTACACAAGTCCTAGTATTGTACCCATGTAGACAGCAGGTGTTGTGTTAACAGATCTAGTTACATGCACCAGTCTTCATTTTTACCCATGTAGACAATAGGTGCTACTTCAGCTGCAGTTCCTTGTAAATTGTTTCTCTGTAAAGTTACATAAGACAAAATGTGATATGATGTGTTCCATGCTACTAGAAAGTGTTATCAAGAGTTGACATGGATATTTAATGTATGATCCAAAGAGGATAGTTTGTTAGGAGGATAGCACCAGCACTGCTAGTTTTTTACTTCCTTGTTACCATGGTAACAAACATTTCTGATAATTAATTTTACTTCACTGTTATGCCATACTTACTAGGTTTATCAGTTTGAATTACAGTAAATATGTGTGCTGCAGGGACTACGTTGTAATAAAAATCAATATTAACTCTGCGCATTCATGACGTCTTGAGACATCACAAAATGCTTCCGTATCCTTTGTGACATCTTGAGATGTCGCGATAAGCATGTCCTTGTCCCATTGTAGTGACGTCTTGAGATGTCATGAAACGATTTTACAGATATTCTGTAAAAACTTTTCAACTCATTTCATACGATGGATTGCAGCAAATATATGTCAACATATTGATATCATAGGCACCACAAAGTTGTAAATAATCATGTTATCAAAGCGAGAACTACAGCCATGTGTTCCGATTTGCATTGTGCGCAAAGTGCCGACCCAGAAATCACATCCGTTAGTGACAGTGAAATTTAAAATGAGTACAGCAAGAGTTAAATAGAAATGATTGTCTGGCATTGTTTTATCAGGATTACTCTATATTGTCACTTAAACTGGTTCATTGGATGGGTTCCTACAGGATTGTAGTGCTTAATGACTTGCAGGGCCAAACGTACATGTTAGGTCCCTGAAATGCAATTTTCATTATGGTAGGTCTACAATTGAGACTTCTTGTTAATGGCTAATTGTCATTAGGGGATGTCTACAACAGAGTCTTGTTAATATTTAATTGGATTGAATCTCTCGGTCAAATGTTTATTTTGATATTTGCATTGGGCTTATAGTCAACATTTCTTATTTGGATTTCATTCACACAGTTGTACTGAAGACAGAACTGTCCAAGGGTTGAGAGATTAGCTTGACCTTGTGAATGAGGAGATCCACATGCACTACTAGCTTGTACTCTACCTTACTGTGCCATGGGAACAAACCAAAATGGAAGAGAGAGAGAAATGGCTGTTTGACATTGCAACATTAGTATACTTAGTATCTAGAAAGGATTAGGTCTGCAAGGGGCAGGTCACTCTGGCAGGTGGATGGAGATCTAAAGGTGAAAAGTGTTGACAAATGAAATGTGATAGTGGGCTTTTGTTGTAACGGTACACAGTCATTAAAATGTGTTTGTCAGCTATGCCTTGATGTCTCCCGCGTGTTATATACAAAAAGTTGGACTATTGTCACCCACCAGACAGGCGTCTAGTTTGTATTTATTTTTCCTAGGCGTCTTTCAAACTGTAGGTGTAGAGAGGTAGATGTTGGAGCTTGCTGGGATAGCGTTTGTGGACCTGACTGGTACAGTGTAAAGACTGTTTCTTTCTCTTAGCCCCAACAAGTCAATTCTGAGTCAGCAATCCTTTTAAATCACAAATAATTGATTCTACAATAAAGTGACTGACATATCATAAGTCCCATCAAGTTATACAAAAGGTGAAACACTTGTCTATTGTGACCGTCTCACTTAGGGTCTGACAGG